CACTGCAGGGAAGGAACCAGGGGTCTCGAGCCCCCTCTCCCAGCCGGTCCCACCACCCCAGCCCTGCTCCTGTCCCCATCCCCATCCCACCTGAGCTCCACTCCTCGGGCTTGGCCGGGAAGGGGAGGTTTTACCCCTGACGTGGCAGCAGCCACGGTTTTGGGGGCACCAGGAGGTGCTGCAGCCCCAGAGGCTCCGGCTCACGCTGTGTCTGAGCCGTTCAATAACCCCTCGTGGCTGCTGGGACCGAGGGGGCTGCGGGGAATCCCCCCCCAACCCACGGGGAAACCCAAATCCCAGCAGGTTGTGGCAGCCGCTGCCGTCCCAGCGCTTCGGCTGCACCAAAGGGGCTCCCGAGGGATTTACATCTCCCCAGGGATCCCCATCCCCACCAGAATGAGCCAAGTCGGGGAGGAGCCCATCTCTCACATGAGAACGGCCGTTTCTTCCTGCTGCTCCGGCCACCGGCCCCACGAGTGGCCCCGAGGAGGAGTCTGGGCTCCTCCGGGTGATGAAGTCACTTCCCGGAAAGCCCAGCTCCCTCCCAGCAGCGGCTTGAGCAGAACACGAAACTGAAACCAGTGCTCCCAGCTTCAGAAACTCTCCCTCCCCTCCCACCAGCAGCTCCGGTAACTGGAATCCCGGATTAAGTCCCAGAAGGACCTGGGAAAACACGGGGCTGGAAGGAAATGTGGGATTTCCCCACCTGAGCCAGTTTCCACCAGCACCGAGGGGGCAGCCCCCGGGTTTGGTGGGGATGGGACCTCTCCCCCTCCCCATCCAGCCCTGGACCAGAGCAGGATGTGGTGCTGATTGCCCTGGGAGTGATGCTGAGGAGGGAGTTTTGCCTCCGAGGCACAAATCAAGGGTGTGTGTGGGTGTGTGTGTGTGTTACACACTACACAGATGCTCTGCCCGTGGCAGAAAAATCCAGCTTTCCTGTTTTGGGGAGCGAAGCCAGTGTTTAAAAAAAAAAAAAACAACTGTCCGGTTGATTAACTTTCCTATCTTTTATTGCAGAATTTGGGGATGGGCTTTGGATCCAACACACCCTGGGTGCAGGATGCTGCTCCCAGGGGGATGCTGAGCCCGGGGGGGTGCAACCGGAGCAGGAATGAACGGCCACGGGGAGGAGCGAGGCGCGGGCGGCTCTCCCGGGACCCTGCCCTCAGCATCCCCCTGGATTTGGACTGGGGGGTCCCAGGTACAAGGGGAAGCGGGGGGGGCATGAGCACCCCCCGGGGCTGCTCCTCGAGGTGTTGGGGTGTCCCGCTGGCCCCGGGGGGGGGGACACTGGGGCCACCACGGTGGCCTCGTTGCCCTGTGGCCCGAGCGAGGGCTGGCCAAGCCCAGCTATTTTGCTGAGGGCAGCTGCTGGCGGTGGCAGGGACTGAGGCCGCTTTTCAAAGGAGCAAACAAAAGAACAATAATAGAAACCACCCCCCGGCCCCATTGTTCGGGGGCCAGCTCCGCGGATAATAGTCGCCTTCATGGGCCGGGCCACGCAGGGTCCGACCGGACAATGGCCCCACAGAAGCCGCCCCGGCGCGGGGGGCTCCCGGGGGGACAATCCCCCATTGAGCCCGCGGCCCTCCCCGCCGGCCCCACAAAGCTCCCGCTGTCCCCGGGCTCCCCGAGGGACCGGAGCCCGTTAAGACGGAGCCACGCTCCGGGCAGCGGGATGCCGAGGCTGCCCGTACCCCGGCTGCCCCCCCGGGACCCCCGGCAGGGACCCGTTGCGCTCCCGGCTTCTCCTTCCCGGGGATAGGGACGGCTCCCGCACCCGCCCCGCACGTCTCGGCGCTTCCTGCCCCCCCGGGAGGATGGGGGGTACCGGGGGCTGCCCCGTCCCGCACTTACCATGGTGAGGGCAGCGGCTCCGGGGCGGCCGCCGGTGCGGAGCGGGGAAGCGGCTCTGGGGCGGGCACGGCCGCGGCCCCTTTCATAG